ACTCATTTCCCCTACCAGCAATTCCAACCGCTGACAAAACTCACCCCAACACTTACATCCCTCGGGAACGCTCTGCACAGCCCATGGAGCTCCCCCTCCTGCCACACACAGCCCCCCCGGCAGAGCCCCAGCTCCCAGGAGAGGGGAGCTACGAGGGGCCGGGAGGAGCAGAAAAGCAAGACCCCAACACACACATTCCCAAACATGGCACAACTCAGATTTTCTCAGTTAAAACCATTTTTCTAGCTGGATGAGAACACAACAAGGGTGTCCAGGTTCACTTGGAGGGGTAAAAGCTTTAGAGTGACGCTGCAGATGCTGCAGTTTGGGTTCCTCTGGCAGTTCCCAGCTCCATGTGCAAGTACTGTCAGTGGCAATGGGGATGAAGGCAGTCTGGGGCTGGATTTGACCCTGGCTTTGGCGGTCCCTCACAAAGTCCTCAGCCATTCCCACTGGTGGGGGAATGAAGAACAAACAGGAGCTGAACCTGCTTAGACTGAACCAACACACTCGGTCCCCGCAGGACAGCAGCTCTGCACTCCCCGTGGTAGCTCTGCATCAGTTGGCAGCGGGGACTGTTGCAGGTGAGCAGCTTTTCAGGACTGGAGACTCCAGTGTCCATCACTGATCGCCCCACAGTCAGCACTGTGCTGCTTCATCACCCCTTCCCCAGCCCTGCAGCCACCTAGGAGGATGATCTCTGGAGCCCAGGGTTCAAAGCCACTGCAGCCGGTGGGCAGAGACATCCTTCCTGCACTCCCAGCCACACTTATGCGAGTGGTGGCTCCTACCCACGCCCCGTTCCCACCCTGCCACCTCCAGAAATCCATCCCTGGCACACCCGAGACACAGTGCCATGGGTCGCTCTTCATGTCTTCCTGCCAAACAGCCACTTTCCCCCAGGAAACCATGGTGAACCACCCATGGGAACAAGCAAAGACGGAGTGAAGTGCTGTCATTAACCCCTGTCCCTGCCTCTCCTAACCAGTGCCCACCACACTCTCAGCCAACGCAGACAGACCAAATCCCACTTAAAATAACCCTCCCAGCTGGGCATCCTCCCCACATAGAGGATGGGGCTGCATGTGTACTATTAACGTGTCCAGCGGTGCCACCGAGTCCCCCCACCCACCACACCGCCCTGCTGGGGACCGGGACAGCCAGGGCCAGGGCCGGATGCCTCGCCCCAGCCCAGACACGCCAC